GGACCAAAAGCCCCTAAGGTAATTTGAATCGAAACCTTTCATTGGGGTCAAAATTAAATTGATTTTGGAGTTGAAGTGTTGTGTTCAAAGAGTTTGCCTCAGTAGTTCTTTGGTCGGTGCCCCTCCACGCTCATGCCAAGTTCCATAAGGGATATGGGCACAATCCGCTTAGAGGTTTTTGAGTTTCTTTAGCTACTATAGTGGGAGGGAGAGAAAAAATTTCAGCACTTTTAAAGTGTGATGGTAATTAAAAACCCAGGGCTTGAATTTTAAGTCCCTAAACGTAAGATTCAGATCAAAACTACAATGAGTTGATTAAAATACCCTTTAAAGATTTAAAAGCTTTTCTTAACTCCAATAATTTCATAATTATGCCCATAAACTCTTTTTACGGATTTTATCAAGGCTTCTAAATTCAATCGCCCTTCCCATATCTAATTGGGCCCTAAGTTGGCCCATTATCTAATAGTGCTTTGAAATTTGTAATCGATAGCAAAATATTCGTCGTTTGTGCAAATATAGCAACAACTTGTCAAAGCGAGCATAGTTCAGTAATTTGCATATATCTCAAACTAAGAGATTGTGAGTTTGATCCTCACCCTCACATGTTTATTTAGGAATATAAATGAATATATATATATATATAGCAACAACGTTTGAGTTTTGCAAATATGACAAAATACTTTAAATCTGATATTTGAATATTTAATTAATCCGATTTTAACCTTCCAAAATTTTAGATATATCAACAATATATCAATTCGGGTATATCATTATACGGATTTACTTTAATGTACTTCATACTAAGCTATATCAATTATTAATCTAATTCATACCAGATACATCAAGGTATATCAACCTTGTATGAAATATATCTTAAGGTATATAGATACACTTTGATATACTTAACGTATAAGACATGTTAAGTACATCATTGGCATATCTTATACAAAGTATATAAGTGATAAATAACATGACATCAATAATATACTTCATACAATATATATCAGCTAATTCATATACCTTGATGTACTACATACTAAGGTATATCAATTATAACTGATATAACTTATATTACATATTAGCGATATACTTGATGTACCTAATAGGAAGTACATAAAGGTTCATCAAATTGGTAATTTGTACCATCTATTGACGGCGAATTTCGGGAAGAGGCTACGTGTCCTACGGACGAGTAGGTTCGCCTGAGAACAGTTGAACCTGCAACAAATAACTCGACGCCGGTGTGGTGTCTTGCCTAAGACACTCTGATGGTTAAGTTAGTAATCGAAATGAGAAATAAGAAAAAAAATACCGTAAGTGTGAGTGATAGGTTTTTCACTTACTTGACGAAGGTGAGGGTCCCTCCTTATATAGCCTTGGGCATCGCTGACTAGGAATGACAATAGTTGAGGGTGGCAGGGGCGTGCCGCATGGTACCGTAACTGTTGAGGGTGTACGATCCGACAACTGGTAGGTGAGGCCACCCCTGCAGTTCTGAGGCTTGTCGCCTGCAACT